GAAGCTTCGGAAGATCAAGGTCAGTCGTCGTTTGTTACGACCGGGTTGAAATCAGAGTTTAAAATTTCAAGATCAAGTGATAACGCGTAATTTCAACTCCTCTTCTTTAATACCGCAAATTTTAAGTTCCAGAATATTTTGATTTAATTAGAAATAAAAAAGGCTTCGTCGAAGTTCCTACACACATAACAAAAATATTTCGCACAAGATAAATTTGCAGTAAATTTAAGATCAGTTTAGTTGATTATCCAAATGAAATAGCTCCAAGCTATTTTCTGTCAAGTAATTTCATAGAATTATTTGGAGCCAACGCTGGAAAAACTGCAATGAGTTACAGAAGTACTGGGGACGAATAAAATCAACATTACACTTTAGAGGGAGTCCCCTGATTATTGAGGTTCTTATTACTTTTGCCATCGACCCCCCCCCCCCCCCCCCCCCCCCCCCCCCCCCCCCTCCAACCACCCATTTCCCAAGAAAGTTGCTCAGATCCAGCCCTAAAATGAGTAAACTGGAAACCGTTCAAACAAGGTGAGAATTAGCGCCCCAAAACTTTTGCCACTCATTGTAGATGGTGGACGAGACCGCCGCTTAAACAGCCTGACCGTGACTTGAAGGTGCAAATAGAGGTCGAACAACGCAACAATCACTCTTCGAGAACCTTTCATCGCGTTCCACGAACAGCACATGCACGCACGCAGCATTACAGTGAAGGTGAATAGCAACCGAGTTTCCGGGTTTCTTCCTTAAGCTGTTGTCCAAGAGAAGTTCGGAATGAGTTGAGGACCACGGCCCATAGTGGGGTTCAGGATTGGCCAGACCGCGAGGGCCTGTTGACTGAGCGAGGTGAACAAAGAAAGTTGCGCAGGTTCTGATACCAACGGAGACGCAGAAAAATATTTGGTATTCCATTCATTTACCATTATTCTCGACAGGAGCATTGAATTCAATTATTCAGCCAGTTTAAAGGAAGCAATCGCCTTTTCGATCTTCCCAAGCTCAGTCTCTAATTGTTTGAGCTGAAACAGGAAAACAGCCAAAATCAATCTCTGAGAAGTAATAGTCATGTCACATGACCCAAGATAAGTTCACATAGAATTTACCTTTGAAGTAAACGGTTTTAGGCCTGGAGTTGAAAGTTAGTTAAAACCCTCCCCCAAACCTGGTAAAAATTGAAGGTGTTTCAGGTAAATCAAGCTACTGCTTATAACTTCTGCCCTTCTTGATTGAGAATCGTAAACCAAAGTTAATCTTGTGGTGTGATCGTCCTGGTTTAGTGATCTTGGAAATGACCGTTTAAAGTTTGGCAACAATCACCTGCAACAATCATTTTTAAACCTAACCTAAGCAAGAGAGTAGTTTTCCCGCCTGATTTCGTTACAACTTCGTAATTTGAATCTTGTACATTTGATAAAATTAAATATATTGAAGGTTAATTACAAAAGATTTACCTTCTCAGAATTTTGTTGCTGAACGTTCTCCGGTACCTGAAATGTTCACATAAAACAGCAAATGTTGATTACCATCAAAAGAGGAAATATAACGTAATTTAAGCTAATGGTCCTTCCCGACTTCTGTAGTCTCCTTTTTTATCAACAGGTTTTGGTGCTTATCCTTTTACATCCAAGCAAAACTCATTTTCGCACTAAGCTTCATTTTCATGCAAAGGCTTAAAGCAACTCGAAAATGATAAATTGAGCACCACAAGATAACTGAACGAGAACAAAAGGAGAGGAATCACCTCTCCTCCACAAGGTCTGAGCAGGTTTTCCAGTAGGGCGATCCCAAAAGACCATTCTGTGGGCATTAAGGTGCCTACCACCAGCTAGCTTGGTTTAAAGAGGGATGTTAAAGGACACCTTTCTCTCCCCACACTCCCCCTCTTATCAAGCTGGCCCATTTTATTGCATCATACCTTTGTGGCGTAGTCAGCAATTCCCATGGCTTCATTTAATTTCGTCAGCTGTCCATTTAGTTTATCTTTCTTTCCTTCCAACTTTGTGATTTCCTTAGCTACATCCACCAAACCCTAAAAGTAAAACCATTACAGAGGAAAGGGTTACCTTGTAAAATATTATGCAGGTGGTGTAACGACTTCTGTTTCCTCATTATAGCACTCGCATAAATGACTCAAAAGGTGATACATGAGAGGATGTCAGCTAAATACCTTGAGAACCACATGCACTTCGCACTTGTCCGAGACAGTTGCCACAGCACATCCACGTGGAGGCTTCTCCTCGCACACCACATGAATCCTGCCAAACAGAAACAGTCACACTAATTAGGAATCTCAGTGTCACTAGGGCAATTTTCAAATGAGTGTCGAATGTGATCCGGGGTTGCTCACGTTTCGCTTTACTTCGCTCTGTGATTGATCTAGAAAACCCGCATCACTTCATCAACCAATCGGATGCAAAAACTGAAACAAATCACGACTTGACCGCACGCGCTTTCCCGCGCTTTGGGCAGTTTGGTTGTTTTGAATTCGAGTTCTCATTGGGTCTTATGGTAATTTCCTTTCTTTTGATTGGCCGTTGGGATTACTTAAGTTTTGGTTTTACCGCACTCAGTCGAAAAGCGTTTTGCTGATTATTAAGAGGAATGAGTGCTTTTTCAACCGCATGGACGGGTGTATATTATGAAGTAAAGTTTCGTCATAGCTACGAGTCTTAAAAACGTAACGTACATCATCGTACGTTAGCATAGCCATGAACAGCCATGTGAGGAAAAAGAGTCAAAACCACAGGAAATCTTAGAATTAACCAGTTAAGAGCAGCGCAAAGAGCTGATACCTTCACTGCATTTTGAATGGGACTCATGGACAACTGACTGTTACCCATTTAAACTCTTTGTTGACTCGAGAAAGTAACTCTCGGTCGGGAGTCCAGCTGGCCCATTAGCCGAAATGGAGCTGTGAATCTTTAAAGATACGCGCCGCTAAAACCTATGAAGGATCACGCAATTGAATTTTAGTATTACCTTTCGCTGGAACTAAGCGTGCACGCCGTTTCTGTGTATTTGCTGACCGCTCCTGCCAAAGACTGTTCGGAGAACACTACATACACTAAAAAAAAATTAAAAAACAATATTATCGAGAGAGTTGAAGGATAAGAGGTGTCGATTATGAAGGCGTTGAAAGATTGATTTTTTAAGTTCTTAAACTTGTTTAAGGATTCGGTGTGAACGAATCCCGAAATTCCAGCTTGTGACGTAATCAAGCTCAAGCTACAAAAGTAAACCCGCAGCTACGAGTGATTAGCGTCCAATTTCTCCTTGGAGTATCACCACTCAGTGAAATATTAAGGTCATGAGAATAAAAGAAATGATCTCCAACTTAAGGAGCTCTTGATCAGTAAAAACATTCTCCTTGTCAGTACCATGGAAAATGTATAAAATCAGTACATAAAATAACATACTGATGTTGGAGCGTAAAGGGTTTAAGTTTCAGATTTGAAACACCTCGATCTCACCCTTATCAGTAACTTTGACTACACCATGGTGAGAAACATTTTTTTTATTCACTGCCACATTTAAAACAAAAGAATTTTATAGGTGAATACCTTCAGGCTTTGCACGTGTCAAGTTGTACTCTTGACGAATGGAACGGATCGATTTCACAATAGTCTGCACCAGATTCAACTCGTCCTCGAGGTTTGCGTCTCTCCACGGAAGCTAAACATGCAAGAAACACCTTAGAAACATAGAGGGATCTCTAGAACTACACGTTAACTGTGTAACCTTCCAAGAAAAACAAATATTTCAGAATTATTTTCGATAGAAATTTATCATTGGATCTATTCAGTCTTGTAAAAGTGAAAGGAATTAATAAGAATATGTTGTGACTAAAAGGCACCCTTTCCCTGCCTTCCCTAACCTTGTACTCAATCACCACTCACCTCCCCTGGGTAAGGTGTGACGCAAATACTTGGCGGTGAGTCTTCAGTCCTACGCGGTAATCGTTGAAATAGTTCCTCTGTCACGTAAGGCATGAACGGACTGAGAAGAATCAACCCATTCTCCAAACACGTGTAGCTTGCAATGGTTAAGGAATTTTATCTTACGTCACGTGAGGTCCCGCGCGCACTATCCAATAGAAAACCATAGTGGAAGCTGACGTGTGTAGAGCCAGACGGGTTGACGCGAGCCGGTTCGCAAAAAAACCCGTCCGGCCCTGCATTCAAACGGTTCTTTTTCATTTTCCGAGAACATGGATTGACATTGTGGACTTCACGATAAAATAAATCAGATCAGGGACTGAGTCGATGTATCGATGAACTGTGAGTTTCTTGTTCTGACTCGAAGAAAAAAAGGAAGGTTATTATGGTAGAATCTCTTTAGTAGCTGTCAAATGTGCGCCCTTCTGTTGTTTTTGAGTATGTCCTATTTGGGTTGAAACAAAATGTTCGAAATTTTCAACACTTAGAGGTCATATGATAAAATGCTTATTTACCGAGTTAGGTTAGGCTGGACAGGAAAAACAATGGCTCTCGCTCATGACACACGGACCTCGTAGCGCTCGGTCCGTTAATCATGATCTCGAGCCAAATATTTCTCGCCCGGCCCTTCCACTCAGTCAATAATCAGATATTACTCCCTATGATTTCTTCCTCTGCCCTTTTTTCTTAAGAAGAATACTTCTGCCATGTTTCAATTAAACATTGTAGTGATTCAAGAAAAAGGAAATAAAAAGTACACCGGGAAAACTAAAAAGAGCATCTTAAGGATACAGAGTGTTACGTGCTGTGTTGATTGCTTCTTTGTTGTCTCCTTGAAGAATTGGCTTAAGGTATTCCTACAGGAAAAAAATACCAAAAAATGTTTTTAAGCAACACGAAGAAGTTCACAAGTGATTACTAAATAGGATTCTAAGAAAGAACTTTTTCACGCCTTTTATTCTACTTTTCTTACCAGATAAACGTCGCAAAGCTCGTAAAGCCAGAAGTTGTAAATAGCCGTCGTGGCTGATGGGAAATCGTAGTTCTTAAAGCCTTCATTTGCTGTTTTCTCTGCATAAGATAACCGGCTGAGAATCCAGCGGTCTTCTAGAGTTTCGCTCCCAATAAGCTTTGAAACGCAAATAGAGAAATGTCAGTTTGATAACTAATTGAAGTTTCCGTTTGTAAAATGACTTGTCTCAGTTAATAGATGAAAACTTTTCATTACACGAGACAAAACAGAATGCGATCAAGAACTCTCTATGGTAGGACAATAGCTCGGTGCGTGCTATTGATTCCTGGCAGATGACTTGCGGGGCAGATTTTTTTTTTATATAAATGCCTCTCACCCTGCATAACTACCGTCCCTTCCCCTGCCGAAAGAGATATTTCCATAACAAAGACTCTCACCTCTGGTTTGACATTCGGTTTGAAGTCAGGTCCCAGGCCGCCCAGCGCAAACTTAGTGGCATTCCACAGCTTGTTGCAGAAATGACGATAACCTTGCACACGAAGTACATCAAGATTAATATCCCGTCCTGTAGAATAAAGTACAAGGAAAGTCAGGTCAGCTTGTTTTCCATCTAATTAACTGCTCCCTTAGAGTTCAGGAGCTTGAATGAGTCTTTGTATCACCGTAATTTTACTCTTCAACCGCCAAGATCTCATTATTAACTTTCCTTACGGTCTGCCTTATAATTCTCATGAAGTCAGTTTGGAGAATGTGGTATTGGATTAACTCATAATCCCTATTGGATATTTTTCTTTATTCCCATCACTTGTCTGCTTTATATTGTATTGATATTGTAGGGAGAAATTGTTTGGTCACTAATGGAAGTCAAACGGTTGACACTACAAGGACACTTACCTTGCGCAGTGTAAGCACAAAGTGCAAACCGCAAAGCATCAGTGCCACACTCTGGTATGCCATCAGGATAATCTTCTTTCTGTAGATTTAAGAGGCTTCAGAGTTATACCCAATTACAAGTTTTTACGGGGTAAAATGGTATCATAACACTGAAATGAAAGGTAAAAAAATAAACCAAGTCTGAAATAAACCAAAGTAAAATAAAGAGAGACAGTGAGATCAACCCTTCACGCCCAACATCAGTATGTATATTCTCCATACTGTTCTCTACTCATTTCCTCAGGTGCTGACGAAGAGAATTTGTTTATCAATCAAGGAGCTTCTTTAGTTGGTGATCATTTGGTTGATTCTCATGACCTTAAGTGTGATTCAGGGATGATTTTGCAAGAAGAAAGTAGATGCTAGTCATTTTGAGGGGTTAAAAAGTTTGAGGCCGCGATGTTCACGTATTTATAACTGTCAGATGCACGGCGCCAGAATTTCTCCAAAGACATCTCCGCATCGATGGTTTGAAAACTGGCTCTGGACGAGAGAGCTACGAAAGTTACAACGAATATCAGAAAGTAAACCGACGCTTTGATGCTCGGATGACGCACTCAGCGAGGCTGACGAGACTTTAGGGTTGATACAAAAAACTTGTCTCCTGAACAAGGTCTTGGAATTAAATTTGCGAGAAGGCCTCATTAGTTGTGCTGCAGGACGAGCGTTTTTTTCTTCTCGCAGGAAGATTTTTTACGAGTCGGCGAGTGGTCTGGCTCAAACTTGTCCGTCCGTACTGAAGCGCTCATAAGGTCCTTCACTTCATTCGCTTTGACGAAGAACAAACGCTCGAAACGTCAGCTTTGAAACTCTTCACAGTGGCCAATTTACGTTATCTTGATAATGCTAAATTACCCCACTTTACAGCCATTAGTTCTGCCCAGCCGTAGGCTGCGTATGGCAAAATACACACTGGAACATTTAAGACAATGGAAAGTAACTCAGTCAAGGTCAAATTTTGTTTGTTTTCAATGTCTAAGTAAACAATTTGTCATCTGGCATGACAAAATTTGTATCATGTGATCAAAGGAACTTTCACTTCCATTAAGAGTTTTAGATTCATCAATACTCAGACAAACCTGTCCTTTTCGAGCTCGTTCAATCTCTCTCGGATCCAAGTTACTGTTTTCAAGCTGAAGGTGTAGATCCTAAAAACACAAAGGATTAGTTATTCTTTTATTTACATATTGAAAAAACAACAACATCAAATACCACCTCTGACAACGCTTAAGAACTTGTTTATCTCAAATAAGAGTTTGTTTATCTCTTGAAGAAGAAAAGAAAAAATCAGACTAAGAACGCGACACCTGTTATACTGAACCTATAACTTAGTTCAAGTCCTAAAGAAAATGCACCTCACCTCTAGAGACACCCCCTTAATGACATCAACGGGGTCGATAACATTCCCGAGAGACTTGCTCATTTTTCTGCCATGCGCATCGCGCACCATTGCGTGAAGAAACACTTCAGTGAAAGGCAGCTGACCAGTAAGTTTAAGGCCTAATTTCACCATCCGGGCAATCCAAAAAAATAAGATGTCATGTCCAGTCTCCAACAACGTACCAGGGTAAAATACCTTGTAATCGTCAGTCTATTAAGAAAGGAAATGCAATGAAAAGAAAGTAGAAAGGGATTTCAATGTAGATGTCTTGTCCCTACTTTGCTAACGGTTGTTCTATGAGGGACTGTTTTAAAACCCTCATCAAGAGTAAAAACTCATATGGCATTCTCGTTAAAGAGGATCAGAATTGAATTGGTCGTCAACCGAGCAGTGTGGTCAAGAACAGATGGCAGTCTGTTCCCACAAACCACTGTCTGGCGCAAATTACAACATCACTTCCTCTTCACTGAAAACTCGTGGGTCAAAAATAAACCATAAAATGCACTTAGTTACATTAAAGATGAAAAATTCCTTCGACAATGATATTTTCACTTTATGGAAGCACACCCAGAGGAGCTGCAGTATTCAAAACTACAACAGCTAATCATAATAAAGGTACATACACCGAGAAGCCAATGAGAACTCAAACTAGATATAAGCAAAAGGGTTCATGCCCGGGAAAACGTGAGTGACAGTCGGAATTGGTATTCGTTTCTGATTCTTTCGGTAATTGATGCGAGTTTTCCGAGCAAAGTGACACAAGACCGATGCCTCCTCCGATAACATTCAACACCCAATAAAAAATTCCACTTGAGGTTCTCACACGAAATGTGATAACTAACCTCTTCTGGCCAACCAAATATGGAGAAAGGAAACAAGCCGGAGGAGAACCACGTGTCCAAAACATCTTCGTCTGCAATAAACCAGGACACACAAGTTAAGAACGAGATCAGGCAGGATTTTCAAGGGCTGGGGATGCATAACAGGTATCACAACAATTACTACCTTGTTTCAAAGTGATCTTCTCGGGGGCTACATTGAACCTTTCTGCAGCTTTTTTCAATACTTCCTCTTCGGTGCGACCACTGAAACAAAATCGACACAATAGGATCACAATAACGAAGATTAAAATCCTGCTTGTTGCCTTTCATTTTCCCCTAAATATTTTTGTCTTCTTTTTTTCTCTTTTTTTGGCGGACATAAATTTTTTTCATTACCTGACCCAGTATTTGCCATCAGTATCCTGAAAAAGAGAAACGTCGAATGTAACTGATATTTTAGAAAATGACCGTGACAACGACAGACAATTAAAATTACTGGACGGAACAATCCGATGCGCGGAGCATTCTAAAGTAAATTTTCAAACTTACTCTCTGTAAAATTCTAAAGACAGAAAATACTTTAAAAATGGGATTTGTACCTATCAGTATTACTTGCCATAATTGGAGCGCTTTTCGATTGAATGTCGTCACCAAAACTAAAGTAATCCCGACGGCAAACAGAGGAAAGGAAAATTCTCTTAAGAGCCAAAAAGAATTCAAAGTAAAAATAACCAAACTGCCCCAAAGCGCGGGAAAACGCGTGCGACCAAGTCGTGAATGGTTTTAGTTTGCCTCTGATTGGTTGAGAGAATGGCGCGAGTTTTGTGGGCCAATCGCAAAGCGAAGTAAAGCAAAAACACCGCAATCGTGGATTATCTTTGACGTTCAGTTTACAATTGTTCTTTTAGTATTCGTTATCATCTTTAAAAAAAAACTTACCTCTCCTGGTGGGACACTTGGATCATCAATGGTCACAAAAAATGCTGGGATGCGATGACCCCACCAAAGCTGTCGAGATATGCACCAATCCCTAGAGAAAGAAAATGTATATCAACTCGCGCCCGTGCTTGCAGGAGGTTCATGACATGACACTAAAAGTAGAAGGGCAAACTGTTTAGGTTGGTAAAAAATTAAACTGCCTTAACAAGATAGACGCTGAGAATAAGAGCTTTTGTTACAGGATCAGATGTGAGTTTGTCGTCAACCAAGAGGTGTAGTTAAGAACAAATGGCAGTCTGTTCCCACAAACCACTGTCTGGCGCAAATTACAACATCACTTCCCTGGTGTGAAGTTTCAAAAACCAGTTTGAACCAAGTCCTCGCTGACAAAAAAAGAGCCATTTATAGGATCAATCATCGTGGTAAATACAGAGATAAGTTTTTGCATAACTAACCTACAGTTCTCAAGCCAGCCGTACCATACTTTCTCATGTATACTTGGAATGATCTTCAAGTCTCCATTTCGCACTGCCTGCAGACACAATTATCAGTATTGAAGCAGTATTCAATCACACAGGTAACAGTAATAAGGATATGAGATAGAAGGAACTGGTTGCTTTTCCCCTTACTCTAGTGACTTATGCCACATTTCAAATATTCCATATTCTAAAAAATTAGCCACTTAAAACAGATGTTTGCAGAAAAAAGTGGTCTCACTAATAGTGAAGGTTGATAAAGAAAAAAAGGTTTATCTGTATCACAACTTGGATAACGACAGCATTTAATATCAATTGTGGACGTTATGGGTCACTGTACCTTCACAGCCATATCTGCCATTTCCTTACAGTCCACATACCACTGAGGTTTGATGAGAGGTTCAACAATGTCTTTTGAACGACTGAGAGAGAAAGCAAAGAATGTCAGGTAGAGTAACTCTAAGCCTTATACTGCAGCAGTAAGGAGCTGTATCAGTGCAACAATGTCCATTAGAGACTACCATACAGTACAGAACTTAACATGAATGAAAGAGAATGGTTTTGTAAGGTATCCCTCAAAAGAGACATTAAAATTTAAAGTCTCCTAGATGTCATTTTCCCATTTTAAAATTCACCTTCACAAGCATGAGAGGTTTCCTTTCCTGTCCTTTGTGTAGGAGGGTTTAAAGGATCACTTTATCCCTTTAAATCCCAAGATTTGATTGTGAATTCTCCTTACTAGCTGCTACACATTTCATGTAAATCAGTTATGAAAATTTGTTGTTAGATCAAGATAAAAACTTCTACCTCACTGATGAGTTTGATTATTCTCGTTACCTGTTTGCTGGAATACAGTGTGGATATTAAAAGGAGAAGTAACATGTTAATCAATTCTGGGAGTAAAGGGTTAAGTCACTAAATCAGGCCAACCAACTTACATGTAAAACTCACCTACAGATAGGTACAACCATCTGATTGTCTTCTGTTTTGATAAACAGACCTTTAGCAGTAAGAGCATCAAGTACAACTTTCCTTGCATTGAATCTCTTCAAACCCTAAAATTAAGAGTGCAAAAAAAGGTAAAGATAAATGTTTCCAAAGATAGTCACTCATTCTATACTTCAACCAGATGTCTTTTCTCAAACAACCTTCATCAATTCAGAAGTATTTGTATTGCCCACTTTTCAGCAATCAAATCAGTACATACATGTAAACTGTAGCAACCCATAGTGTTCTCCTTTTGAACCAGTAGTCCATAAAATTTACCACCTCTAATATGTACCTCTCACTCAATAAATCCCTTGCAATTTTTGAAAATTCAACAGGTAGAACGACTGCTCTACAGATTTAAAACTTGTTTTACCTGTCATGCTTAAAATAAGACAGAACACTGTACACTGTCAGTCATCATATTATGATATTTGCCTGTCTGTATTTTCTGCTTGTCTTGTCTATATAACTGTTACATTTAGTACACCGAGACAGCTTTGTAGAAGAATAGTGTACAGCGAGTGGCAAATTATTGTTCAAGCTGACACAATATCACACTCAATGGAAGACTTTATTAGAATCTAGTGTATGCGTAAATGTAAGTATGGCAAGTATAAATATTTTAACCCATTGACACCTGAACCGCCCGTAACCGCCCGTGCCGCGTGGGGGACTTGCGCGAGAGACGCTTTCCCCCCTATCTCCCCTACTAAGCAGAATTTTGTCTCCAAACTGTTAGGGGATCTATAAACCAATCAGAATCCGTTTTTTGCGCAGTTATTTTGATAACTTTAGGGGGTAGTACAGAGGCGTCATTTTATGCGTGCACAAGAAATGATCAAATACAAAGAAATGGCGTACGCGCGGCCGACTTTCAATATTTTCAAGTCGGATTTTCTGTTCCTTTCCCACCATTTTAGACCTTCTGGAACATAAAATGAAAAGGAAAAATGCTATAGAATAATCTGCTCGAAAAATAATGGACATCACGGTCTTAAAGGCGACAAAATAAGCTTTCGAGTCGACAACACTACAATTCTCTAAAGCGATGCGAATTAGGGCCGTAAAGCGAAAACCAAACTATCGGACTTCAAACGAGGCCTAGAGACATTATGAAGATTCAAAGGCACGGTAAATATCACGTTTGACTAATGAGATGTCCAAAAAGTATTGTTTAATAGAAGATTTTGTGTTAAATCGTAGAACTTTCAGTATTTTCAACACAACGCTGCGCAATATTCTAGCCGTGAATTCAAGTAAACATCGATTTAAGCATGATGAATTCTACTTCGTGGGTTTCGCACAC